TGGTTTGGCCAGGAGGGCGTATACACAGCTCCTGGGTTCAGGAAGGGCCTGGCCAGGGAGCAGTGGATATGTATAGACTTCGTCCCCCGAGATGAGGCCCCTAGGACGCGCGGTCTCGCACAACGACGATTGCCCCGTTCCTGTCCCCAGGGCCCCATGCCTCAAGGTCCCATCTCTGAACCACCGACGGGAGTCCCCGAACGGTGCGTTGAGTTGACAGAGCGCGTCGAGAGACCTCACCGCACGGCCCGTCACCGCCCGGCCTGGGTGCCTCTGAGGATCCAGTCGCCCTGGGCATCCTCGCAGAAAGACCCGAGGGACCCCCGGAGCCCCCACCTCGAGGAGCCCAAGACGGGACGAGCAGAAATTGTTGTCGGTCCGCGCGGATCGGCGCTGGCCCTCCCTCCCTGGCGCGCGGAGCGCGCCAGGGGCGGCGCCGCCAAGGAACCCCCCAACGCGGATCAAAGAACACCCCGCGGGGCGCCGCAAGATTATGCTGATGTCATGTTCTCGTCTGCGACAGTCCCCACTGGCTCGCCACACGGTGCGGTCACCACACCGTCTGGGGGCCCCCGAGTATCAGCAGCGAGCAAGGGGGGGAAAGCGAGAAGGAGACGGTCTTCTCAGGAGGTTCGGAAGTCCCCTGGTCTTCTGAGAAGTGTGCTAAGCCTCCCCCGAAAACTCGAGAAAACCGCTAAGAAGGCGCCTGGGCTCCTGAGAAGCCCCGCCGCCTCCTGAGAAGGCATGCTTCTTCTCACTTCCCCCCCTCGCTCGCCGCCGAAAAAAGGGTGGGGGGGCTGGCCGCCCAAGCGACGCCTGCAGGACGAGCGCCGATCTCGCCCAGGGAGCCCGTCGTCCCCGTCCCTGCGGTTCCCTCCTCCCTCCTCCTCCCTCCTCCTGCCGCCGCATTGTGCCGCCCGCTACTGCAGGTTCGTGTCGTGCCGACTTGGGCGTTGGTTTCTGACACCGCGGAGATCGTTCAACCTGGAACGATCGGCTGTTTCCGAAACGTCAAATCCTTCAACATCGACCGATTCTGGGTGGCTGGCGGCGTTCAACGTTGAACGCCCGCGGCGGGGTCGCCGCCAATCGACAAAACTTACCCTGTGTCCCTCAATAATTCTGGTGGACTGCAGGTACCTCCCGGACTTCAGGTACCCTCTCCCCGAACTACAGGTACCCCTCCCCCGGACAACAGGTTCCCCCCCCCAAACTATAGGTACCCTCCTTTGACTACATCCACGCGTGCGTTGACACGTGAACACGCGCTCCCCCCCCAGACTGCAGGTCCCCCCCAGACTACAGGTACCCTGCCCCTGGAATACATGTACCCCGCCCAGAACGACTGGCACCCCCCGATGCCAGATACCCCTCCCCCAAATTACAGGCACCCTCCCCGGACGACAGGTGCACCCCAAAACTATCGAGGGACACGGAATACCGTACGCCATAGAGCATGCAACAAAAACAGGATCGGGAGCGGCGAACAGGGGGGTGTCCAAGAGGGGGGGGCGCAAATCATGACTGGCGGCACGTGCGCGGCCCAGCGGGGGGGCCAGGGACGCAATGAAATAAGAAGAGGCGCCATGATATCTGGGCAAATATCATGGCACCCGCCATGATATCCCCCCCCCCCGTAGTCATGACCCCCCTCTCTGCCGCCCCCGACAGAACGCACACCCTCGACTGAGTCGACGCGCGGTCCCGCGGAGATGGGCCCGCGGGCCCTGTATGGGCCCGTCGCCGGGAAGGATTTCCAGGTCCGTCTCGTGGCGACGGGCAGGCACATCAAGCGCGGACCTCCCGAGGCCTCGAGCCTCGATTTCCTCCTGCTCCTCCTCCTTTTCCATTCCTCCTCTTCCTTCCTCCTCCTCCTCCTCCTCCTCCTCCTCCTCCTCCTCCTCCTCCTCCTCCTCCTCCCCCACCATGGGGTCGAGCGATGGCCTTCCATACTGCGCCTCCTCGTCCGCCACCCTGTTCTTCGGCTCTGTGACGTTTTTTTTTTGTGACGGGGTGGACATTTAAGACTGGTGGGGCGGGGTGTGTGTGTGGGGGGGGCGGAAAGAATTCTCATCGTTACACGTTGTATCGCCCAGGGCCGGTGTCGCCATCTCTGTGCCATTGTGTACGTACCACTTGTGCGTGCACAGACAATTCACCGTACCCGTATGACTAAAAACACCTTTGGGGATGAAGGCGCAGTTGTCTGGCGGTGGGGAACTACCATCCAACAGGTGAGAAGTAACCTGATAAGATTGACAATCGCGTCCCGTCTGGGTACAAGGTCACACACGTGACCAATTGCCATCATCCGCGCGCGTCGTGCTACCCGCTCAGCCGCAAGAGCATGCGCCAAGGCGATGTAGACGCCCAGGGCGTTCGGCATAGGAGTGGGCCCGCGACCGAATCACGCAGGCGTCGCGTCATGGTGCGCCAGTATGTAGCAACACAAATAACACCATGTCGCATCGCTTCGCCCATGCCACAGCTGTGGGCCCGGCACTCTGGCCGCCGTCACCGCTGCCGCCAGCGCTACCACCGTCAGCAGCGACCACCACCGCCACTGCCAGCAACAACCGCGAGAAACCATATCCACCAATGCCACTGCCAACGCGGCCCCCGCCGCCGCTGCCATTGCATCGCGAGCGCCATCCGCAATGACCATCAGCGGTCCAGCAGCAGCATAGTCAGTATCAGCGTCCTTATTGTCAGCGTCGCTGCCGCCTCACCATCACGACCGCTATAAATGCCGCTACTGTTACCGTTACCGCCACTGGCACCACCGCCGCGCTACCAGCGTGGCTGTCTTGGTTAAGTCGGTGCTACCACTACCGCGCTACCAGCGGGCACGCTGCCGCCGATGGCCTTTGCAGCGCCGGCCCAGCGCTCGGCGCTGCCAGCGGCAGGCTCTGCCACCGCCAAGTAAGTGCACCGGCTACTTGTGCTGCGATTGGTCATTTCTGGGGTCGTTGACGTGGAGGTGTCAGAACTGGGGCGCGCAGGTCGCCATGTGCCTGCCCACGTCGGGCGCGCGCCACGAGGCCTGGCGCGGCCAGTAGGCAGGCCCACTGGAGCGCCCGCGGCGACGGCAGCCTCTGGCACCCGGCCGCGCCTCCAGTTTGGGGATAGCCATTCATCGGGCAACGGGTCCGTGCGCCCAGTGTTCACGAAATAGCTGGCAGGCGTCGTCTGGCACCATTTACCGAAATTACCGTTCTGCAGCATAGCAGTCGCGCACTCCTCGGAGGCAGGTGCGCATGAAGACCCGAATGTAGGCAAGACGGAGCTGATCGCAGTCGGGCGCTTCACAGAGGGTCGTCTGCGGCGCGCGAGCTGCTCACAGTCGGTGCCCACCAAATGTTACTCACGCTGTGAAGAACAAGTTTGTCTTGTTCAATGCCTGGGAGCCGCAGGGCACATGTCCCTTTGGCAGGGGCCCCAGCTTCACAGTGACGGCGTATGCGAACGTTCGCGCGTACACTTGCGGCACATAGGTAGTTGAGCAATTGCGCAAATGTGGGTTTCTACTGCCCGGCTGCGAGGCGGCCCAGGCTCTGACAGGCAAGCCACCGGGCACCGACGCCCAGCGCTTGCGAATGGCGCGCGCAGCCTGGCGGCAGCACTGCGGCCGGCCAGAAATGTGTAACTCAGCCTGGCCGTCGCCCAGGGGACCACCGAGCTAGCGTTTGGAAATACCTCTTGTGCGGTGCGCTCGGCGTCCAGCACGCAGGCAGGCCGCGCAAGACATGGTTTCGCAAGAGATTCGCACTTCGGTCCAAGCGGGCGCAGAGGTGGGCGCGAAAGACAAAGACGGAGTGTAGGGCCAGGCTCTGCCGGGACTGTGTGTGCCGATGTTTCGCGAAGTGCCAGCTCTGAGTCGGGTCGATGCGGCGCGGCGGCGGCACTGGGGGATCGGCGCGGCGTCACCTTCATCACCGTCACCACCATCACCGCCATTACCACTCACAACCATACACATATACAGAGATATATGTAGGTGTGTATATATATACATATCGAGATGTATATATAGGTAGATGTATATACATATATAAAAATATATGTACATGAATGGGTATATAGATAGATCGATGGCAGTTATACCGATAGACCGATACATATATATATAGAGAGAGACAGAGAGATAGATCTATGGGTATTCTGGATGGATAATTCGATGTATAGGTCGAGTGAGCGATTGTACAGTTGAAGCAACCAACAAGGAACTCAGAGCAATTGCAAATCGACCGCCTCCCCCTTCCCCCCAAACCTCCTTTCACCCGTAGGGTGGTCCTGTCAGCATGAACAAAACTAGTATGACTGCTAGAACTGCTATTTACACTACTATCAAACTCCGTTTCCACCTAGTTATCCTCCTCCTCCTCCTCCTCCTCCTCCACCTCAACAACATCGTCATCGTCATCATCTCTATCGTCATCGTCATCGTCATCACTATCCTCATCATCCAGGACGGCAGAACGATTCATCCGCATGCTCTCAGGGCATCTGGAACGTCATCGCAATCGTGGTCGACATTATCATCATCATCATCATCATCATCATCATCATCATCATCATCATCATCATCATCGTCATCATCATCATCACCATCAGCAGCAGCAGCAGCAGCATCAGCATCAGCATCAGCATCATCGACATCAGGATCACCATCATCATCACAACCATCATCGCATCACAATAGTATTGAATCTCCTCCCCCTCCTCCTCCTCCTCCTCCTCCTCCTCCTCCTCCTCCTCCGCTGTAAGGCCTTTAGAGGGGAAGGGCCCTTCTTGGCTTGTCCATGGGGGCGTGCTCCCTCTCCTTCGCTGTGGGGCATCTGCGCAGAGCAAGTGAGCCCGGCATCCCCCCTCCCCCCCATACTCATCCTTCTCATCCTCGTCTTCCGTTGTGCTGGCCACGCCCCCCCCCCCCCCCTTCCGAGCGAGACGCAAAAGGCATCCACGGCGAGGCAACAAACAAAAAAACATCGGCCATGCGCCTAGACCTTGCAGTTGTCCTTCTTGGCCACGAGGGGCTGCCTCTCCGCCATCTTCGCCTGCGCCTCTGCCTCGATCGACTCGCGCGCCTTCCCGTACAGGACGCCCCCCAGGATGGTGACGATCGCGCCGACAACCTGGATTGGCGCCAGACTCTTCGTCCTGAGGCAGAACGCCTCGATGAAGATGATGACGAACTTGTTCGCGTTGACCAGCACCAAGAAACTGGTGGCGCTGATCATGCTCTGCGCCCAGATTCCGGTGTAGCTGATCCCGACACCCACCAGGCAGCTGAGGACCACCCAAACGATGCCAGCAGCGGACAGGCTCGCCACGGCCTCGCCGGCGAGCGGTTCAGAATGCGCGGTGCGCTCATCATCCTCCGCCTCCCGTGCGCCCTGCCCCCCGTCCTCTTGGCCCCACGCCGTGGAGGACGGAAGATGAGAAGAAGGAGGGATGAGGGAAGGGGAGCACAGGTCAGGAGGAGGCGGCTACACCTGGACACTCCGTTATCCTGATTGGCCGAACTGTGAGGGTACGACGGCGCACGCAGCACCAGCAGCTCAAGCAAAGGGCGGCAGGGGCAGCAGTGAAACAAGGGGATGAGTTTGTCACGCTGTGCAGGAGGGGGGAGGAGGGATGGGACCAGGAGAGCGAGGAGCGATGATACTGGGAGGAGGGGGGACGGGGGGGGGCACACGCAAGACTTCAAACATGGATAACGTATGTGGTGTTTCGGTCGGAGCGTTTCCGGTGGTTCAGGATGGTGCTGCCGCTGCAGCGCGCGCCTCCTTCTGGGATCGGCGCTTCGCTGCCGCCGTTCAGGATGGAGATCTCGCCTATTACAGGGGCGGGACGGGGGCAGGGGGGGCGGAGTGAAGCGACGCGCGCAAGCCTGCAGGCGCGGGGCCCTCGAGGGTCAGCGCGGGGGGGGCTGGGGCCTTTGGGCCCGCGCACCGTGGTGTCCCACGGGGGGGACGGGGGGCAGGATGCGGAGCGACGGGGCGTGCTTGCCTCCCTCCCCTGGCGCGCCCCCCCCCCCCCTCCAGATCCCACCCCCGCCCTGCCCCGGCATGAGCATGGCGGCCTCGCGGGGTGGGCGCACCACCAATCTTGGCGGCGCGCAGAAGGGGGCAGGGGGAGGGGGGAAGGGTTTCTTAGAAGCGGGCTGCTCCTTAGAAGGGCCTGGCCTTACATCTGTAGGCAAGCCCCGTGCCTTCTGAGAAGCAGGGGCGCTTCTGAGAAGCCTTCACCCCCCTCTGCGCTTGGCCGAGAACCACCGTGTCTGAGGGGCCTGCGACATGGGCGGGTAACCCAAGCGGGCCCCATCGCCCAGCTGCCTCACGTTGGTCGCTCGAAAGCGAATGCGTGTAGCGCCCCCCCTCGCCCTCGCCCCTCTCTGGGCTCTTTGCCCCTGCCGGCGGTACTGAGTGCGGAGGACACAGGTGAGTACACAATACTCTTCCGATGGGGAACCCCTCGCCCAGGCACAGAGAGGACACAAGGCGCGACAGAAAGCACACCGACGCAGCCGTGATTTAGCAGGACTGACCCGATTCTAATTTTTCTCGCGCACGATCCGCCCTCGACGGTCTGGAGGCGGGCCACACGCGCGCGCGCGAACCGCATGCGAGCGCCCTGGGCGCGCGAGCGCATGGCAGCCGCGCCGGCGCCCGGGCCAGGTTCGGCTCTGACACCTGCGCCAGCGAGCCCCTCGAGCGCCGCCGCGAGGCCCGCGACGCCGCCTTCGGCCCCGCCGCCAGCCGCCAAACCCGCTTCGGGCAGACCATGGGCTTTCTCGGCCTCGGCCACGAGGGCGCCCCCGCCGCCGGCGCGGGCCTTCCAGGACCAGGGCCAGGCGCGCCGGCGATCCCCACGAGCTCCAACTCCAAGCTGGCGACGCCGCCCGCGGCCTCGGGGCCGGCCGCCGCGCCCGTTTCACCCGCCGCGCTGGTCAGCGGCGCCGCCGACGTCGCGCCCCCACTGGCTCCGCCATGCCCCCCGAAACCATAATACGTCAATAGGGCAGGGGGCGAGGCCAGGCCGGGCAGGAGGGCGCGAGGGCGAGGAAGGCGGAAGGCGGCTCGACCAGCGGATGCACGGCGGAGGCGGCGTCGTCGGCGCCGCCTGTAATGGCGGCCCCAGCCCAGGGCAGGAGGGCGCAGATCTCTTGCTGGGCGAGACGCGGGCCGCGCGCGGTGACCATGCGCGCCGCGCGCGGCGACCATGCGCGCCGCGCGGCGCCAGATCGCAGCACTGATGGCGGCGCGGGCCCGCGCCGCGAGCGCGTGCGAGAGCGCGCCTAGGCGCCCCCCTGCCGCGGCCGCCACGAGCGCGACCGCGGCCGACGCGCCCTCGGGCGGGCGGCCCCGCGCCGCCCCGAGGACGAGACGAGCCCGTCCGCAGCACGCGCTGGCAGGTGCGGCACCTGCCTGCTGCGCGAGCAGGCCGCCGCCGTGCCAGCGCCAGCCCTGGCCGCCGCAGTGCTCGCGTCGAGCGCCGTCGGCCAGGCAACGGCGGCGGTGGATGGGCCGCGGAGCCTGGGACCGGGAGCTCGCGCTTCCCTCGCACCCCCCCGCCGCCGCGCCGCCCTCCCCCCCCCGCGAACAAGGCCCCCCCTGGGGCCGAAGCTTGGGGCCGGCGCGAGCAGCTCACCGCCGGGGCCACCGGCAGCCAGGGCTCACTCCACGGAGATGCAGCAGCAATCTTAAGACCAGCACTGCGCCTCCACCGGCGTCCTTCGCACACAGAGAGCATGGCCGTCTCTGAAGCTGCTCTCGGAACGCCCTGGCCTTCGAACGCAAGCCTGGGGACGAGCAGGAGTGGTAGTGCACGAGGGCTGAACTACTACAGACAAAGGTCGGCAGCTCGAAGCTCCGATGCGGAGGCGAACGAGGAGAAGCAAAGGGAGGAGAACGAGGATGGGGAGACGAATCAGACGGAAATAACAACATCAACAAGAGCTGAAAGAAAGCGCAGGAAGAATTGGACCTGGAGGAGCAGGATGGAGGAGAGAAAGAGGGGGGGAGGAGGAGAAGGTGAAGGGGGAGGAGGACAAAAAAGACGGGAGATGATGACCCACCCTCATCGGAGGACGAGGAAGAGAAGGGCGGGGGGATCGTGGATCAGAGAAAACCGCCCTGTCAGAACGCGCAACAGCTGGAACCGAATTTGAGGCTCCCCAAGCCGTGTGGCGACAGATCGTGCGGTGAGGTCGAAATCCCGACGGACCTCACAGCTCAAGGGCGAAAGAAGGACGCACACGTACATGAATCCACGCTGGTTTCGAGACTACGCATTGCGCGAACGTTCGTATCACGCGGCTGGTCTCGCGTACAGTCAGGCCGTTTATTGGAACGGTAAAGGAAAAACGAAGCCCCTTGTTGGCCCCCAATGCGCCAGTGTGCACGAGAAGGACTACAGGAACAACCGCATAATAACATAAGCAACATCGAGCCCCTTTAGTACCCAAACTGTTCTTATTTCAGCCCCGTGACTGTAATGGGGGGCCGTGTTGATGTACGTGGTTGGGCGCGTACGTCCTTTGAAAACCCTCCAACAGCACAGTCCGTCACCGCACAGTTTTTGGGGCTTAGATGAGTGGCGAGCCCGGGGGAAGTGAGGAGGGGCGGGCCTTCTCAAAGGCTGCGAAGTCCCACGGCCTTCGGAGAAGAGTTCTGAGGCTTCCCCGAAGACACAGAAAACCTCTTAGAAGGCCAGAGGTGAGAAGTCCCGCCGCCTTCTGAGAAGGCCTCCTCGTTCTCACTTCCCCCCCTTGCTCGCCGCCGAGCAGACATCCCGAGACCCCAACGACTCACCAGTCAGTGTGGCCACCGCACCGCTGGGGGGCCCCAACGACGTGGTGTGCGCGCCGCCGCCTTGCCCCACCCCCCGGCCCACGGAGCGCCTCGGGGATCTCGGCGAACTCGTTCTTGATGCCCATCACGACCTGGAGCACGGCGGCGCCCCACCCGCAGCTCCTCCATGCCATCCTCCTCCTCCTCCCCCTCCTGCCCCCTCCTCCTGCCTCCTGCTCCCCCTCCTCCTGCCTCCTCCTCCTCCTCTCCTCCTCCTCCTCCTCCTCCTCCTCCTCCTCCTCCTCCTCCTCCTCCTCCTCCTCCTCCTCCTCCTCCTCCCCCTCCTCCTCCTCCCCCTCCCCCTTCTCCTACATTGTCTCTGTTCCTCCTACCCCCTTCTCTTTAGCCTCCCATGTCAGGTTTCCTCCTCATCGTCTTCACCCTGTCCCTGCTCCTGGTCAACGTTCCCTCCGCGTCGAAAGGCAAAGGGAATTGGAATGGCGTGTGGGTTGCTTCGTCTCAGATGGCCTCGCTCGTTACATCCATAGTTCTCTGGATGTCGACTAATTGAACTGGTGCAGGGCGGGTGGCTTTCAGCGCGTGCTGCCAACAGCAAGGCATACGTCTTTCGCGCTCCGCTGCTCATCCTCCCTCTCCTCTCCCATGCCCTTTCTCAGCTTCCTCATTTATCCTTCTCCTCCTCCTCCTCCTCCTCCTCCTCCTCCTCCTCCGCTCGCCTCGTCTGCAACTGCGTCTTCGGCGGCGTTGTCGTTGCCGCGGTGCAGAATTCTGCCTGGGAAGAGCCTCCCCCGCACAAAGATCGCAACTGTTGTCTCTCTCTCCGTCCGTTTTTTTCCAAAGCGGCCACTGAGCCGCTGTGGCAAATCAGTTGCGCGCCCGCCTGGCGCCGTGTCCGCCTCGGCCACTGTCGCCTTGCGGCCTCCCACACGGCGAACCACTGGCCCCGACGCGGGGGTGGCGGCGGCAGTGGCACTGTCGACAGCAAGGCAGGCCAGCGAGGCAAGTACCCGCATGAGTCCACAACGCCGTCATGAGGGCGGAGATTTCTCGTCGTTCTGGTGCGTTTTGATCCAATCGGAACTTGCTTACTCTTTGCAGTGCCTGCCTCCTCCTACCCTCCACTCCTGCCTCTCCCTATCGATCCTATATGTCCTCTTCCTTTTCCGACTCGGGGAGAGAAGGGGAGAAGGCGGCAGACGTTGAAGAGAGGGAGAGGGAGTGGTACCACGAGAGGCACCATGCCCTCCAGGTTGTTGAGGAGTGTGATGCCCGTCTTGGAGATGTCCACTGGGCTCTGGTCCTGTCGGCCGGCGGGCCCCCCCGGCACAGAGAGAGGCCCGGCCCAACCCCACTGGCAATGGCACCCCTCGGTCCTGCCGTCCCTCCCTCTCCCACTCCCGCCTGCTTGCCCGCTCCCTCGTTTCCTCCCGCTTGCCCCCACGCCCCTCGTCCACCTGCATTCTCCCTTGTGTCCTCCCTCCCTCCCCCCCCCGTCGCCGCTACCGCGACGCACGCCGCTTCCCAACGTTTTTCTCTCTGGAGCCCAGAACCATCTTGACGGCCTCCGTGTTGTACCGCACGGCGCGGGCGTTATATTTTCGCAGCCGCTCGCTTGCACGTGTCCGGACGTTGGGCCCATCGAGAAGCATATCAGCGCGCGAACCATGCCGTGCTGATGAGCCATCGCCTCGGCCTCCGCAATGTAAGATTCAGCGCGGGCACTACGAATTCACAAGCGCACTGCAAAAATGGCGGGCGGCCTTGAGAAAGAAAAGCCCTGACTCAGGCACGGATCGCCCCAATGTTTTGACACCGCTGTTTGGACAACATGACACACACACACATAAGTGCATCAAGAACCCGTCAATGCCGTCGGCGCCAACCCACGGACGCAGAATCTCACCTAGATCTGGATGGTGCCGAACTCCGCGGGACCACCGAAAAAGGGCTCACACAAGAGGCGACATTTGCGCGCCTGGTACCATCCAGAACGCCGAGGTTCAATTTAGACTGCGTGGCCGCGCACTCCTGTTACCCCCTTCGCAAAATCTTGAAAACGGCAATAGTTCTGCAGCTGGCGCCGCCCAAGCGCGTTGCGATGTTAACAGGCTGAGGAGCCCATTCAGTCCACGTGTGTCCGCGCCTAGTGGAACCTATATACGAGGCGACACCGTAGCACAGAAAATGGGGGAAACAAAAGGACGACGGCGAGCAGGATAATGAGACATGGCGAACGTAGAGGCGGTGATACAGTGGGGGCTCGGCCACAAGAAACCTCTGCAAGAAACCCAACCCTGAAATCCGCGATTTGTTCTGTGAAAATCCACATGGGTCGATCGAAAATCGTCAAGATCTGATTGGGAGCCCATCGAAATCCAATAAACCCAGGGCACCCTGGCAACATCCAACTGGTTTCTTGGCACGCGCCCCCACTGTAAGCGAAGGCCAGCGCGGCGCCGAAAGATTCTCATTGCATCGCACATGCAGGGGTGATCCAGGGTCCGGCCTCAGAGCCAACGTGTTGGCCTCGGCTTTGCACCGCTCCCAGCGGGCACCACCTGTTCGCGGCCGCGTGCATGCCCTGGGTTGGACGCGAGGCGAATGGAATCGCACACGGGATCGGGGATCTTCTGACCCGGGTCAATCCAGACCAGGGTCAGCGGGAAACCAAAAACTGCAATGCTGGAAAAAAAAACTGCAACGCAGGTCCTCGCAAACCCGGGTCAGCCAATAGGCGCGGCCCCCCTCGCGGCCACGAGCGGCTCGCTAACCCGGGTCAGCCAGAGGGGGCCTTCGCAGGATCCCGCAGGATCTGGCGCTCTGGCTGACCCCCGTTTGCACTGACCCCCGTCTCCTAGGCCCCGACGGGACCCGACGGCAAGCGCACCGGCGGCTCCTTCGGTCGGCCGCTCCGGCCGCCACCGCGCGCTTCAACACGGGTGTCAGACGGTCGGGCGCGCCGCCGGGCAGTGGGCGGCCGCGGGCGGCCGTCGGAGGGCAAAACCCAAGCGCGGGAACGGGAGGGGAGGAGGAGGAGGGGGAGGAGGAGGAGGAGGAGGAGGAGGAGGAGGAGGAGGAGGAGGAGGAGGAGGAGGAATAGGAGGAGGAGGACGAGGAGGAGGAGGAGGAGGAGGAGGAGGAGGAGGAGGAGGAGTGGTGACCCCCATCTCTGAGGTGGGCAAGCCAAAGGCGATGATGACCTTAAGGCATAGGCCCCCAGAAACGGAGGGAACCCCTGAGATCGGTGTCGAAGTAAGGTGATGCCAAATGTAGGGATGGGGATCTGTTTCAAACCGGTGGGATCATTACCAGCCTGGAACATCTCCCTCTCCCTGTGTTCGGCATCGAATCATCACGATGGCGATCTTAGGGATTCCCTCAGTTTCTGAGGGTGCACCCCTAAGACTGTCATCGCCTTTCGGCGTGTCAATCTCAGGGATAGGGATAAGTTCGAGGCTGGTGGGATCAGGCCGACATGGTGACACTTTGGCGCCGCCTGCCATGCGGGCCGCCGCCGCCGCGGAGGGCCTGTCCCGAGGGCGGCCGCCGGCCCAGACCGCAGGGGGGTGTGGAGGGGCAGGACGTGGCATGCCGCCGCCAGCTCCGGGCAGTCTGTGCTGCGCGGCGACGGAGAGGGGGGGGGCGAGAACGAGAGGCAATCAGACGACGGCGAACGCGCGGGCTGATCTCGCGCGGATTGTCCGACATCGTCGCCTTGGACAACATGACGCGCAAACGCAAAAGAAGCCAATCTTTTTCGTCAGCGCCCACCCGGGGAGGCGAGAATTCGCTCGGATCTGCGCGAAGCCCCGTCCGCTCACGAGCGTGACGACGGCTGGGCGCCTGGCACAATGCAGAAGACGCGACGTCCCGTTTGGGTCTGCATGGCCCAACTCTCCGCTGGACCCCGCGTGCTCACGAAAGTGGTGACAATCTAGCAAGCGGCACACCACCAAAGGAGGCAAGGTCTGGTGTTGGTGGTTTGGGCAGGACTTCGCTCCGCTGACCTCCCAAGAGCTCACGAAAAATTGTGGCAGTTGCGAACGTAATTGGCACAACCAAGGGAGGCGAGGTCTAGTTTGAATCAGGGGAGGACATCTTTCCGCTAGACCTCCCAGGAGCTCACGACCGTAGCAACTGTTGCGCAACTGCAGTAGTTGACAACACCAAGACGGGAAATTCGCCGGCCCAACGGGCCAAAGGCGTGCTAAGATCTCCGGTAACTACTTAACAATATTTCAAGTTCGCGCGCGCGGGGCGGCCCCTGGGAGCCCCCGGACGAAAAGTACCCCAGCTGACCCCCGGCCGGGTCCCGGGCGATCCCCAGGGGGGGGGCTATTTTCGCCACCCCGCACGAGGATCGTGGCCTCCGAGGGGGTGGCTGCAATCGACTACCCCCCCTCCCGCCCCAAGAGGCCCCCAAGAGCCCCCTAAGAGGCCCCAGGGGAGCCCAAGACGCCGCCAAGGAGACCCAAGAGGCCCCTCAGACGGCCCCAAGAGGCCCCAAATAGCGCTCCAGGGCCAGCGGAATGAGCGAAGCGATAAAATAAGGATGCAAAAGGACAAAACGAGAAGGAGAGGGATGGAGGAAGAGGGAAAGATAATCAAGCGCTCTACTCAAAAAAGAAAAGGAGCGGTGGGAATAACACCAGGTCGGGTACACAGTCCCACGATGTTTTTCTTCCAACCCTCTTCTTCCCCTTCGGGGAGTGGCTTATCACTGTTCCGTATTAATGAATACCCCCTCCCCCAGGCGACAGGCAGCCAACCAGGACCAATGAGACGCCCCCAACCATCCCTGTCAAAAAACACTGCGAAGTCCACTTTGAGGTAAAATCTTGGGTCATGATTGGGGGGGGGCGCGAGCACATTGTATTGTTGTTTGACAGGGACGGCGGGGGTGCCCGCACATTGCCCGCAGGGCTAGCATCCCTGGCAAAAACAATTCCACATGCATTTCGAAACAAAATCTGAATCAAACGTGGGCACCCCGCGATCATGGTGCATCGTTTTTTTACTGGGCCAGCAGGGGTGCTGGCATATTGCCTGATATGTGCAGGCCACCCCGCCGCCATAGCGCAGTGCTTTTCGACACGGGTGGTGGGTGCCGACACGTTTCCCGATGAGTACTGCCACGTGCGCAGGCGCACCCTGCACGCTCTGCGCGTGCCCCAAACGTTGCGCACCTCGCGCGGCTGGAGCATGCGGCGCACATGGCGTACGTGGATCACGTGGCGCATCTGGCGCATCAGGCGTCCTGGCACGCTTGGGCCACATGGGGTGCCTGGCGCACCTGGCGAGCGTGGCGCGCCTGGCACGCATGGCGCACATCGCCCCCGCGCTGCGCACATGAATTTGTTGCTGGTTCCCAGTATCTGTCCATCCAAAATCTACCGCTGAACACGCTGCGGCTCGGGCTCTACCTATGTGTTGGGAGGGCGGATGGGAGTGAGCGAGACAGCTTGCGGGCGGAGGTGTCTTGACCCTCCCCCCTACTCCCTCCCCCTGGACCTGGACGGGGCGCCACGCGGGTTGTTAGAGCGTCCAAGATGGCAACGTCGAGACGGCACGCATGATTGATTTTCCATAGATGCTGGGCCCATTTGGGCCTCCTGGGGGAGGCTATTGGATCCCCCCTTATTTGATTGAGCTCCTCCAAACTACTCCAAGATGGCTCAACGATAGCCCCCAAGGCTCGCAAGAGTGCTCCAAGAGGCCCCCCAGAGGTCCTCAAAAGACTCCCAAGAGAGAACCAAGAGGCTCCCCGAAGCACCCAAGACGCTCCAAGAGGCTCCAGGGACGTCCAAGAGGCCACGTAGACGCCCCAGAACTCCAAGCTCTCGGAGAGATCCGAAGCGACTCAAGGGGTATCCAAGGCCTCTGGCCTTTCTGCTCGGCCTCCTCCTCCTCCTCGTCCTCCTCACATACTCGTCCGCCTATTCCTCCTCCTCCTCCTCCGCGACGTCATCCCCTCCTCCTCCTCCTCCTCCGATTACTCCTCCATCCTCCCCGTCTTGGGGCATGACGGCTTCCCCAACCCTTTCGTCCACTGCATGCCTTCTCCACATCCCTGATCAGGGCAACTCGCCTAGGCATCGTTGATGGATGGGCTGGTGGGCCTACGCGGAGCGTCCAGCATGCCCGGGGCCTGAGAACCCGCGGCTCTGGAGAACGCCTGGGGCGCCGCGGCGGATCCGGAGACCTCCCGCACGCTCCGAGAGCGTTTCGGCACGCACTGGAGCCACGCGTCTTCCCTTCCCCTCCTTCCCCTCCCCGTTCCCTTCCCTTCCCCCTCCTCCTCCTCCCCCGTTCCCTTCCCAGGTGTGCCTGCCTTCCCCCTTCCCCCTCCTCCTCCATCCCCGTTCCAGGGGCGGGGCGCTGCGCCCCCGTCCCTCGCGCACGCCCGTGGGCGCAGCGCCCTGCTTGCTCTGCTGTCCAGGTGAGCTGGTGCTAAACCACAACCAAAAAGTGGAGAGGAAGACGGACACCTGCCATTTCGGGTTCACCACAGCGACTCTCAAGAAGAAGAAGAAGAAGAAGAAGAAGAAGATGAAGAAGAAGAAGGCGAAGAAGAAAAAGCCCTGCTTACCATCCTCGGATGCCCAGCGCACCTCCCGCCCGCCTGGCTCCCCACGGCTGGCCGCGGTTTCTGGCGCAAGGACGCCTCCCAGGGAAGTCTCGCCGAACCCCCTGGCCAAGTGAACGAACAACCACGTGAGCCGACACTTCCGGAGGTCCGCGCGGTTGCCTTGGATCGGCGCTGGCATCCTTCTCCCTGGCGCGCGGAAAGCGCCACGGGCAGCACCAGAGGCGCCGCCAAAGGGATGCCAACGCCCATCATCCGAGAAATTCGCGCGGAGCTCCGAGAGGTCATGTTTGTGCAGCCGTTGCTTCCTCGAAAGACGCCCAACGGATCGGGTGTCTTCAGTAGGGGGGCTGAACAATAAGGGGGGGAGGGTGTGTCAAAGTACCGAGGCGGGGAAACCATTGAAACAACGGAATCGTGGCCTAGCAGCTGTTTGCCACGGAAAGCCTCGGTACTGGTCCAAAAGAGCAGCCTGAGTACAGTTCTGAGATTAGTGAATTCAGGATTGGCCAACCCCAGCCCATGATGATCTAAGAATGATCCCAGACATCGAACCCATAGGGCTTAGTGGACCAGGGTCTGTCTGTAACATCAAAACACACTTGACATTGGGTTACCGTTTTCAAAATGTTTTGCTTCCTCGAGGTAGTCCTGGAAGAACCATCGCCGCTTCTGTGTTCCTTCCCAAGTAATCAACAACATTGAGCTGTAAGCAAAACCCGCAACCGAAGATCTCGGCTCGACTGGGCGTCTGGACGGCGGGAGCCCCCTGGGGGCAGGAACCTGGGAAGGAAACCTACTGCCAGACCGATCGTGCGGACGTCAGAACGACCTGGTCGACCGTCAGATAGAAAGGGCCCCCGCCGGAGACATCACAACAAGCTGGGAACCGTCAGACTGCCCCGGGGGCCCTTCAGAACGCCCGGGGGACCGTCAGAATGCCTTGGGGGACCGTCAGAATGCCCCGGGGGGCCGTCAGAACAAATCCAGGCTTGGGCTTCCCACGCCTCTGGAGGCCCACTGCCAGTTTTCCGGCCGTCGGAATACCCGTTCGGGGGTGGGTGCGAGAAGGACCGCGCGGGCGAAACCTCTGGTTCCCCTCTCGTCCTTCCTGCCCCCACCCCGCACCTCCATCCAGCCCCCCCCCCCCTAAACATTGCCCCTTGATTTTGTCCCGCGGCCGTTCGAGACGATCCAGGCACCCCTGGAACGCCTCTGGCGAGGCGCAGCTGCTGGAGGGCACCCCGAGACTGAAAAACCGTCGAGAACCAACGAAAAAGCTCGAACCTCCCCGCCCCCTCCCTTGCACCATCCGCCGCCCAGGGCCTTCGCCAGCATCAAGCGTTGCAGCAGGCGGTCGCCCACCGCGAAGAAGATGTTGAGGAAGACCCAGCCGATGCCCCCCAAGCCAGACTTGTGCATCGCCTGCAGGGGAGGCCCTCCTTGCCATTCTCTTCCCCCGACATGTTACATGTTCGCGTCATAAAACAAGCACGACGGACTGTTTTAGGCCGTTTTCGGTCTCCGGTGGCCGTCGCTGGGCCCTGGGACCGTGAACGAAAAGACTCGGGATGAAAAACCAGCCGCGGGGCCCCAATCCGCATGATTGGGTCCTCCTCCCAACAGGCCCCAAGACGGCTCAAGGAGGCCCCAAAAAGGATCCAAGAGAAGGAACTCGATCTGCGCTTTCGGGCCCTCCTCCCCAAAGAGACCCCGGGGCCACCAGCAGGCTCCCAGGAAACCGACAAGAAGCTTCAAGAAGCCAAAGTCCCTCCAAGGGTTGGCGGTGCGGCGTAAGCCCATGAATCACGACACCGCGTGTCTGGGTCTCGAAGGGACAAACAATGTTAAAAGCACAAACGTTTGAAGGTCCACGCTGGTTTCTTGGATCGGCGCTCGGCCCCCCTCCTGGGCGTGGGGAGCGCGCGCTGGGGGCACCGCCGAAGACGCCGCCAGGTGGCTCCAGCATCGATCCGAAAAGTCCGCGCGGCCGCCAGGGGCTCCAGCGCCGATGCGAGAAATCCGCGCAGGACCGCGACAATCCATGGCCATGCCGTTACATGTTTCCCCTGTTCCCCAAGGGTCCTCCTCCCAGCGTCGGCCCTGCCCCTCGCCCACCCCTTCGAGGCTGCGCACGGCCATGAGAAAACCGAACACCGACCGAACCGGCAACGAAACAAAAACCGAGCGAAATCGACAGGCCGACAGCATCCCAGAAACGCACAACGACGCGGCAACGGCACGTTCACCGACCGAGCCGAACCGACCGAACGCAACCGACTGCGACGCAACCGAACGGACCGCAATGCGAACACCCTTGCTCTTGTCAGCATGGGGGAATTCGGGGGCGGCCAAGAGGGGGGCGTCCGAAGGGAGGGGGCGCGCATCATGGCCGGCACGCGCGCGGCCCAGACGCCGCGAAATCTGGGGAGGCATCATGCCCTCCGCCATGATACCCCCCCTCCCCCTAGTCCTCACCCCCCTCTTGGCCCCCCCCGATTGTGAGCATTGGGGAACGGGTCATGGCTCGCGTCGCGACTGCCCTGGCGCTGGGTTCGGCCCGCGCGCCGGAGACGGGCCCCCGCGAGGCGTGCCCGGGCAGGCGCGGGCCTCTCCGGGGAAATCGTCTCCGGGAAACTGCTCTGCGTGGCCCGCGTGGATCGGCCGGTCTTCAAAGGTCAGCCGGCGGGCTTGTTTACCATCGCCACCGCCGAAAGCGGGGAGGGGGTCCGCGCGTGCGCGCGCCCCCGCGGCAGTGCAGTCCCCCCTCTCCAGCGTGGGGGCTGCCTCGTTGAGCCCCTCGGGGAGCCGCTGGATTCGGCCAGGACTGGAGGCCTGGCGGGGGCCTGCCTCGGGAAAACCGAGCGAGGGCTCTTTTGCCTCCCTCTCTGTTGGCTGCTGCCATGGCAGGGAAAACTTCTCGGCGGCGCGCCTTGTCGGGGCCCCGCGCCTGGCGCTGCCCGCGGGATCCCCTGCAATTTTGTGAGGTGGGGTCTGCGGCTGGGGCGGAAACGCTGCCGAAGGCCAGCGGGGGTGCTGGGGGACAGCGCCTGCGTTTGCGCGCGTCTTGCGAGAGGTCTGGGAGAAAAGGGGGGGGAGGGGGCGCGCGTGAGACAGTGGGGGGGCCCTGTCGAGCTCCACCTGCAAGGCTGCTGCGCGCCTGTCTACTTTCACATTTCCACGGTACTCCCGCGCGCCCTCCTCTTCCTCCAGACCTAGGTTGCCCTTACTCCCCCGATGAAACTGCCGAATTCCTGCCGGCCTGTCGCGGATGAGATCGGCATGGATATCCACCCCTTCGATCAGTCGTGCAAGCTGGTCGGGGACACGGCGCCAGTGAGCCGCTTCAGGGGCTAACTTATCAGCGTGGCCATTGAGGCGGCGGGCCCACGGGGTTCTCTGGCGGCTTGATCAGGGGTCGGGCGGCTCTTCGCTCTGCGCGACGTGATCTGATCTCTACGAGCTGCGAAACTCCAGAACTTCCTCCAGGGCTGTAAGCTCTTACTGCGATGGAAGCGAAGGCCTCTCCGGGAACCCGTGCGAACGTAGGCGCAATCTGTGACAATGAGAAGGCTGCCTCTAGTGGATTGGAGCAGCACGGTGACCGCCTCGAGCTCTGCGAGCGGGACGGTCTGGGAACCTGTGGTACCTCCTTGGATCGTGCCTTCCCGAGCGACATCGCATGTCCACAAAGAACTACCCCAGCCACGAGTTGGAATCCGCGGGTCCAGCGCGCGTGCCCCGCCTCTGCAGCCTGTGGCTGCCACCAGCCACTCCGAGACAAGAAAAGTAGGGGGCTGCTAGAAGACTCCTCTTCGGACCGTGTCCTAGTTGCGCTGCATGATGCGGGCGTGGGCCTGACGGAGCAATCTTGCCGGGGTGATCCCTCGATGCAAGAGACTAGGGTTCTGCTGGGATTCTGCCACAGCTCGTTCCGCGGGTGCCTGAGTACTCTGGACCTCGGATATGTTCTGATGGGCGGTTTCAGGACTGGTCCAAAACATGTGGAGATCATCTGCCCGCGGCTGTCCACATGGCGGGCAATCTGCTAACTTCTGCCGGCCGCTCTCGAACCTGCGGCGGGCGCTCCAGCGACTCGAGCAGGATGCGGCGGCAAGAGCTGATGGGAGGCCTGTCTCCGGAGCTCCTCCTTGATATGTGTCTCTTGGGCCCTGGGTGGGTGGGTTCTGCTCGAGCTTCGTCTCTTCCTTCCTGATGGCGGCCCGCTTCCTGGCTGGGTATACACGCAGTGAGTCGACGTTTGCCCCCTCCTCCAGCCCCCCCTGAGTTGTGGCTGATCGGTGAGGTTGATTCCCAGATGCGCATGGTTAGGAGGAACTCCAGGTGGCGAAAGAAAACCTCCAGCTGATCCCAGCTAAGCGGCTTCACAGCGTATTCGTGGCCTCCAGGGTCATTCCAGTGCCAGGCTGGAGACAGGGGTCCAGCCTAGGTCATGCAGGGTGGCGATGACGGCCGAGAGGTGTGACCTGACCACGAGCCATCTGGAGGGCCTCTTGAGCTTGTCCTTCAGGATCTCCCAAGACCTCTGGATGCCTCCGAGGATGCTGGTCTCTGAATTAATGACTTTGAACCGCATCCGCAACAGTTGGACCGTGAGGAAAATCCCTGGGTCGCTGTCTGACGGGGACGCTCAACAGCGGGAGCGCGCCAATGCGAAAAAGTGTACGCGCCTTGGTTGTAGTACGGGCCAACTTTTTGATATCCTGTGGCTCCGGATCCCGAACGAGCGACGAGCCCGACGGACCCGCAGGGTCCTGACCTTCCCGATGGAGGTGTCGACGCCCAGATCCCGAGCTTTCCGAACAGGTCGAATGGTGATGCCGTTCGCGCCGAGGGTTTCGACGTCCGAGGTGCGGATCTCTGGAGAGCTGGCCAGGACAACAGACTTCTCTGAAAGGCGACGTACTAGATCAGCATTTCAACCACGTAGCTTGATGATGGAGGTCGGGGAAGGCTACCTTTAGGGCTTCTGGGCTTCCGACGAAACGCGGACCCTGACGCCCCCGACCCATGTTCTGATGGTGGGGCGGGACACCCAGTAGTGGGCAAGGTCTAGAATCTCGTACAAGAGGGCCCTCGTCCAGGAAACACTGTGACCACATCCCTGGAGTATTGATGCCATGGGGATGAGGGGTTCGCTGACCCTTGTGGGTGTCCCAACTGCTCGAGTGCACGTGTGGACCATCATGCCAAGCGCGGGCGGGGCCACTGGGTAGCCTAGTGCCAGGGCCTTCTCCGCCAGTTTGCTCTGGCGAATGGTATCGAACAACTTCTGGAGGTCGAGGACCGTTCAATGACGGAACAGGTGAGAGAGGCGCTGACCTCGGCGAAGAGGACGCTGACCAGCGCAGTTCTTAAACACTCAGTGCGCGTCCCAGAACCATGCACGTGCATGTTCTTATTGGGATAACTGGCCCTTGAAACGACGCGCTATGATATGTAGGGGGCGCTGGTGAGAGTGATGGGACGATCGCTGACTCTGTCTGTGGCTTGAGAGCGACGAGGTTGATCATGCACTGGGCTGGGTACTGCTGCAGCCTGCAAGTATCATTGATGATGCTTGTGAGAACCTCAAGTCATTCTGCTGGTAAGCGTGCAATCACTGACTCTCCACTGGTCGGCTCATGGGGCCGAAGCGCTGGAGAAACTGATCTTCCTCATCCTCCTCTTCTTCCTCCTTCTCTTCCTCCACCTCCTTCCCCACTCCAAGGTGGAGGTGGAAAGCAGGCCCATCATCAGCAGTTTTTCGATGGCCGGATCGTTCCACTAGCGGCTTTCCACCTTGAACGCCCGCGGCGGAGTCGCCGCGGCGTCGACACGACGCAAGCCTGCCGAAGGAGCGAACGGGCAAGAGGAGCGCTCAGGGGCCGCCCCATCCGTGGGCGGTTCGCCGAGGTGTACAACGCGGCGCCCCCGACCATGGTCGCGATGGCGCCCAGCATCGGGGCCTCAGTGCAACAAGCAGGCCTCCCGGCAGCGTAGCGTGTCGGCATCCCTGGCCTCGATCCTCGCGTTACCCTTCGAAGTCGTGCTTCTCATCCTGATCCTCGTCCTCGTCTTTACTCTCTTCCTCATCCCTCCTCCGCCTACCATATCTCCCTCCCTTCCCTTCCCTCGTTTGTACGTCGCCGTCCTTCTGGTCCTCCTCCTGTCTGTCCTCCTCCTCTTCCTGCTCCTCCTCGCCCCCATCCTCAGACTCTCAGCTTAGTCATCTTGCTCGCGCTCCTGTTCCTGCTTTTTCCTGTAAGCATTCACCAATATCCTTTTTTGCATCGTCGTCCTCCCTGTGTTCTTGCAGCGCCCGCTGCCAGCCTTATTGGGTTGTTGCCATGTGCGATCCCAACAAAACTGCTGGTGCACGGGAGCGCCCACCTGATCACGGAACACTGCAAAAAGTTCCGAACCACACTCTTGCCAGGCCTTGGGCCCCCAGAGCCACAAGTTGATCGCACCGACTCCCGCGAGAAAAAGCTGACAAGAAACAGTGGGGCGCCTCCCCCCTCCAATGCCGCGCGCGTGCCCGACCTGGCCTTCACGGGCGCCGTCGCAAAAGGCGGGGGCCGGGATCTTGGGGGTCCCACGACGGTGCCGTGACGCACCGTGCGGTGACATCGGCATCCCGGTAAACTCACCGCGTTCGTCACCGCACGGTTTTGGGACCTTCGAAGCCCCAACGCCCAATAAGTCCCCGGAAAACGACCCGGGCACCGAATTCGCGCGACCGCCCCGGACCTCAACAAACTCACCACACCACGATGTGGTCAACGCACCGCTTGGGGGCCCTGAGCCATCGCGGACGTAGGGGCATGATCGGCCTGAATCGGTGCAGTGCAGGCTGATGATTGGGATGTTTGCCAACGTGGTCCCCAAACAGTGTGTTGCTAGCAATATATGGTGTGCAATCGATGTGGAACCGTCCATGTTGCACGATATCGGTGGTGCAGTGTATGTTGTGGAATAGCTGCGATTTAACATATATGGTGTGCAGTGTACGTGGTGTCATCTATGTGGTGCAATCCACTTTGACTGTGTTGAAACTGTCCTCTCCACTGCTCGTGCAAACTTCCCACCCTCCCACCCGCAACTTGGTCGCAAGACCTCTTACCACCGTGACGTTAGAGACCAAATGGCACTTGGCAACGACAGCGACGCCGACGACGACAGCGACAACGACGACGACGACGCCACCAACGCCGACTACGACGACACCGACGACGTCTCCAACGACTTCGACGACGCCGACAACGAAGACGACGACGACGACGACGACGACGACGACGACGACGACGACGACGACGACGACGACGACGGCGGCGACGACGACGACGACGCCGACGCCGACGACGACGACGAAGACGACGACGACGTCGCCAACGACGACGACGGCGGGGGGGGAGGGAGGACGGCGACAACGACGAAAACGGCGAGGGAGGAGGGAGGACGGCGACGACGCGAACGACGAAGAAGGAGGAAGGACGGCGACGCCAATGACGAGGGAGGAGGGAAGACGACGACGACAACGACGACGACAACGACGGCGACGAAATAGGAGGGACGACGACGAGACGCCGACGACGGACGACGACGACGACGAAGGAGGAGGAGGAAGGACGACCACGGCGACAACGACGACGGAAACGACCACGACGCCAAAGAGGACGACGACGACGAACACGAGGAAAAACAGAGGACGACGCAGGCGGCGACGACGACGACGCGGGAAGAGGGAGGACGGCGACGACGACGACGACGACGCAAGAGCGCGCGCGCACGCTTTGTGTTTTGTAGGTTTTTTGGACACACGATTTTGACATCCTTCCGAAACCGATGGGTCCCGAAGGATTTTGACATACGCGCACGACGACGCGCGCGTCCGCACTTCGTCCCATTTTTTGCAAAAGTGATTCTCGCGACGGCACACGCGCAAAGGCGTTCGACATATTTCGACATGCGCGCGCGAAACCCGTGTGGTAGCATTTTGCGAAAATCTGGGAAAACCGATGGTTTTCTGAAGATTTCGCAAGAGCTCGCGCGTAAGCTTTTTTAGCTAATCAGTGTTGCGAAACCCTGTGAATTTGCACGTTTTTGTAAACTCGATTGCGAAATCCATCCGAAACCGAACGTTTTCGAAAAATGTTGGCATGCGCGCGCGACGACGCGCGCATGTGCATGTCGTCCCGTTGTTTGCCACGGATTCGTGACAAAAATCCGGGCTAAAACGGAAAATGCCCCCGCGCATCGTTTTTCACAAGGGGACCTCAGGGGGGCCGATCCCGGCCCCCTGGAATAGTGTACGATTCATATTAAGGATGGACATGTGGTCATAATCGTATATGATTTACATACCCGAAAAGGGGGGGCGATAACGCCGGGGGGGAGAGTCGATTCTCTCTTTTTTAAAAAAGAGAACAGATGTGGTGCGACGTATGCGGTGCAACGAACACGGCGCAACGTAGTGGTGCAAAACATGTTGTGCAATCGATGGTGTAAGATAGATTGCGCAAACTATGTGGTGTCTTCTATGTGCTGCAACATATTCCTGTGTGGAACAATATACGTTGGGCAATCTATGTTGTGGAATCTGCATTGTGCAACCAACGCTCCCCAGACAGTGTTTGCACTCAGGGTGTCATAATTATGTTCTGAAGAACTGGGCCGCGTTCGGTCTGGCAGTTACGTGGCCCCGTCGACGACCTATCGCCGCCTCGCCACCGCCCGTCGTGTGGGCCGTCTCTTCGGTCTGGCGGTAATGTGGCCGCCGTCGCCGCACCGTCGCCGCCCGTGGTCGGGGCCTCGCTTGTACAACGTAACTTGCACCACGTAGGATGCAACGCATATATGGCATCACGCGGATTGCACAACGTGGATTGCACCACGTCGGTGTCTCAACATACATGGCATTATATTTACTGCACCACGCGTGTCGAACGTCATAAACAAGAATACATAAATGGCACAACGTGAGTTGCGCCACACATATTGCACAACCTGGAACGATCATTGTTTTCGGCACACCGTGGACTTGATTGCATCCGGTATATTGCATACAATGCAGACTAAGCCGTTGCAATTTGCAGTGAGCAGCAATGCGAGAACACGCAAGCAATACGCCGCGCCGCGCAGCAAAGACCAGACGCCGGGCGACGACGGAGCCGGCGACGGCGACAACATGGCCGCCACATCGGCACGCCGGCCCAGACGATGGGGGGCGACGAGGCTGCGACGGGGCCGCGACGGCGGCAAGAGCGGCACACCGGCCCGATTCCTCAAAACAGAAATAAGAACCCCTAAATGCAAGCACTAATTGGAATTGCGTCATTGGCGGATCCCACGTACGTGATTAATTGACTGTGTGAAGCTGGCGGCAGTACGCACGAAATGCGGACAACACTACTCCGTTCGCGCATCTGCGCGAAGTCCCCACACCAACCTCGCCGCACATCTGAATCATTGCGTTCTTCATTGCCAAACATGTAGGTGGCAGCGCGTCTATGGCAACTTTGGGTGGCTACTTTCAAGTGAGGCTACAGGCGCGCCTGCGTGAATGCTCAGGCTAGCCGAGCCTGCATGCACCAAGGTGCGCACAATCCTGGCTAAGACGCGCGCTCTCGCCCGCGCAACCTCCACCCCATGCGCAGACCTCTGGCGTCAAAAACGTGCCACGTCTGCCACTCGGGGAGCATGGACGGGGTACCCGGGAAGAGGTCGAGAACTCCAGGGATTGCGACTTGGAAGAAATCACGGCCTCGGAAGTCTGGAGGGGGAGGGTAGTGTGAATGCGGCTGCGACGTGGGTGGAAAGTGTCACGCTTCCTGTTCCTCTTCGCCTATGCCTCCCATCTCCTCTCCTTTGCCGCACCTGTGAACCCGAAACGGACAGCGCCCCCATGCCCAGCGCACTCCTTGTGGTGTCAACGAAGTGCCGCGGTTGCCTCGCTTGGCGGGCCCGAAATGGATCGCGTTCCCACGCCGAGCACACCTCCTGTGGTGTCACAAATGTGCCGCGCGTGCCACGCTTTGCGAGCCCAAAGTGGATTACGCCCCCACGCCCTGTATACCCCCTGTGCTGAAAAAGAGGCGCCGCGCTTGCCAAGCTTTGCGAGCCCGAAACGGATAGCGCACCCGCACACTGCGCCCCCCTTGAGGAGCCGAGGACGTGCCACGCCTGCCACGCTTGGCGAGCCCGAAGCGGATAACGTTCCCATCCCCTGCCCCCCCCCTGCCCCCTGTGGTTTCGAACAAGCGCTACGCCTGCCACGTTTTGCGCACCCGAAAAGGATAGCGCCCCCACTCCCAGCACACCCCCTTTGTGGTGCCGAGGAGGTGCCACGCCTGCCACGTTTTGCGAGCCCGAAACGGATAGCGCTCCCACCCCCAGCGACCCCCTTGTAGCGTCGAGGAAGCGCCACGCCTGCCAAGCTTTTCGAGCACGAAACGGATAGCGCCCCCACCTCATGCGAACCCCTTCGGGCGTCTAGGCAATGCCACGCCAGCCACGACTTGGGACCCGCCAGGTGTATACCAGCGTTGTCTCGTCAACGTGTCCTCCCTCTCCGACCTGCATGTGATGGATCTGTGTGTTGTGTGTGTTATATATGGTGTGTGTTTGTATATGTGTGTGTGTGTGTTGTGTTTGTGTGTATGTGTGTCCGCGGCTCCGCGTTCCGTACTTGCCCTGTCTCCGCCTCGTCGCGGCGCGCGTGGCCGCTGCCGCAAACAAGTGTGTGCGTGTCCGTATGTCAGTGTTTCTATGCGTGCGCGACTGCATGTCTGTTTGCGACTGATTTGCACGCGAGTGCAGGTCAGAAGGAGAGGGAGAAGGGGAGAGGTGAGGTGAGACGTGGATGGGACGCGGGTAGAACAATGTATAATCATCGTCTCACATTTAGCACGAGCACGAGCCTGGGCAGGGGGGGCCCGGGCTCGTGCTCGGGCGTGGGATCGGGTGTGGCGCTCCTTCTTAATCGCAAACCCCCATCAGGTGTACAGTGGAGGCCAGTCCACACGAAAACGTCCACAAGAGACCCATCCTTGGAACCCCAGGACGTCCATGGATTCTTGGCGTGGGAGCGTCACGCTTTCCATCGCAAAACCGTCGAAACTCACGAAATCAAGGGCACCCTGGAGGCAAGCAGGGTGTCGCTTGGCATGGGCCCCCTCTGTGTAGCCTGCATCCCCCGAAGCGCAGGGATCGACATCGCCGCCCCGCCCCGGCCGCGGGAGGCCGCCGCTCCTGGCGCGGGAGCGGGCCAGCCAGGACTGGGGACACCAAAAGGTACCAATGCCGTTACTCCCGGGACCTTTCGGGGCGAATCCAGCGGTGGCGGACAGGGCCGCCGCGGGCGCCCCAGGACGAGTTGCGCCTGTTCTCCTCCTCCTCCAACTCCTCCCCCAGCAGCTCCTCCAACTCCTCCAATTCCTCCGACTCCTTCTCCTCCTCCTCCCCCTCCTCCAGTTCCTCCAACTCATTCTCCACCTCTTCCTCCTTCCCCTGCTCCTCCTCCTCCTTCTCCTCCTCCTCCTCATCCTCCTCATCCTCATCCCGTGTCTCCTCCTCCTCCTCCTCAAATTCAAGCTCAAACTCCTCCTCCAACTCCAATTTCCCCAACTCCTCCAACTTCCCCTCCCCCTCCTCCTGCTGCTCCTGCGCCTCCCCGTCCTTCTCCTCAAACTCTTCCTCCTCGTCCTTATGCTCGTCCTCGTCCTCGTCCTCCTCCTCCTCGCTCCAGCCCCCAACTGGCCTCGCTCCCGCCCCGAGACTCCCTTGGGTCCGCTACCGGTCTCCCGAGAAGAGGGGGGAGGAAGCAAGAGGGGAGCGGCTGTGCAAGGAGGGCCCCTGAGCGGCTCCCCCAACCACCACCGCCCGCTCTCTCCCTTCCGTCCCTCCCCGGCCATCGTTCTCCCGCCGCCATCATTCAAGCTCCCCTCTCCGATCCACCTCCTGAGTCTCCCGCTTCCAGCTTCGAGAAAACAATCACCCGACTAAGCCGAGCACGCTGAGGCGCAGCGGGTCCGGGTAGAAGCGCTCGATCAGCAGGGACGCCATCGGGGAGAGCGTGCGGAACACGACCACCAGGCTCATCGGCGCAAACTTCAGGGCGAGGATGGACGACAGGAGCATGCCGGTGAAGAAGGGCACCACCTCGGGGAGGCCCCGGGTCCGACGCCGAGGAAGCTCTGGCTTGGCAGCGGTCCACGATCCACGATCTTCCTCCTCCTCCACCTCCTCCTTATCCACCTCCTCCTCCCTCGTCCCTCATCCCTCCATCCTCCACGCACGCGGAGGCGGCCCCCGGCTCGACGCCGAGGAGGCTCTGGCTGGGCAGCGGTCCACGATCCACGAAAAACCTCTTCCTCCTTCTCCTCCTCCTCCTCCTCCTCCTCGAACTCCTCATCGCTCCTTCCTCATCCATCCAGCCTCCCCGCTGCGAGCCGGAGCCAGGCTGCCCCAGAGGGAGCAGCTGCTCGTTCTCTCTCTCGCTCTCTCTCTCTCTCTCTTCCCCGCTGGCGTGGCGCGGCGTGGCGCGCACTGCGGCGAGAGCGGCGCGACAACTGCCGAGAGAGAGATCGCTGCCCTGGCGCATGGCGGGTGCTCCGGTACGCTCCTCGGCAGAGCCTTTGCGGTGGCCCTCGGCCGGGCAAAGGGTGGCCCCGACATGGGGACGCACGTTCGTGCTCGGGCGCTGCCTGCTGGGGGGGCGCTAAACGGGGCGGCGAAGAAGCGCGCACCGTTCGTGCTGCTTCCGGGCGCCTCTCGGGCCCCGAAGGTGCACGCAAGGTACATCTGTCTTGTACCCCCCGGTTTATGAACTACGCAACGCCCGAAAGCAGGTACTCATCGGGGAGATGCAAGATTCGGGGTTCGGGGGACTCGGGTTGGCCTGACGAGGTCATCATGGAAATGACGAGACCAAATCTGAAGTTTGACGAACTCCCGCTGCAAACATCCCAGGGCGCGCTCGCCTAAGAGCGAAGGCGCACCCGAGGTCGGGCGTACTCGAGTCTTGCGTTTCCCCGAACTGAGGCCGCCGCTGGGTCGTCCCGCCCGGCCTCTGCCGCGCCGGCTCCCCGCGCAGCCAGGACGCCGCCGAGGAGACCGACGCCGAGCGAGGTGGCCGCCGCTCGCCCGGATGCTGCGCGTCCGGTCCGACCCGAACATGTGGTATACCAATATGGTAGTATATCGTTTCCCGGGCGGTGTAACCAGAGAGCGCCCACCACGAGACATCTACTAGAAGATTTTTCGGTGCGCGCGTTGCCCCTGGGGGGGGGGGCGACGCACACATAGTATTAGTATGCTGGAGCGACGCCGAGCTGCTGCGGTGGCCGACCCTACAGCGAAGCCAGGACAAGAACAACATCGGACAGGACAGAACGGGGATGTCCGAGGTCTGGCGGTTCTAGAGAATGCATCGGGCGCCCCGGTCTTTCCAGAGCGTTCCGGAACGCTCTGGGAATGATCCGCCCCCAGACCCCCGACGTCATGTCAGAAACTGGAGCATGTACATTGCCAGTGGCGGGCTGTTTTTCAATCCCAGGACATTTTGAGGGTCGGGGACGACGTCGGGGCGGTGTGTGTATTCCCCCGTCTTCCCGGGGAAACAGCGAAACAAATATACACCAGACCCCCGTGTACAACAAGTTCCGCTTTCCTGTGCGAACTCCGGAGCGGGGCCCGAAAAAGCGTCGGTGTATAGGGTTCAGCCCCTTGTCATAAATTTGTTCATGACGGACCCCTTCCCCAGGACCGGATTATCATCCTGAGTCGTTTTTCGACAGTCCCCAAGGCCTGTTGAGGGCCCCCAGAGGCCGAAAACAGCGAAAAGCCTGACGTCGTGATTTTTTCAGGACCCCAGGGGGTCTTGGTCCCTGTCGCAGCCCCGCCCCAGACCCTAAGCCAGAGAGCGCGAGGGAGACGGCGGTCCGGCGACGAGCCGAGGCTGAAACCTGCGGCAGTCTTGCGAGCGCGTCGCTTGGCAGGTGCGGTTGTTGCGGCTGTTGCGGCTGTGCGCGTGTGGCTGAGCCTGGCGCCGCCCCAAGGGGCCAGCAAGGCGGTCGTATCCCGTGCGTTTCAGTGGAACTCCTCGGGCTCACTCCAACACCATTGAAGCGAAGATCAAACACGGGACCTACGCCAGATAGCACAGCGACCTTACGCCGCGGCTTACGCGGGCAGCAAGCGCGGCACAACACATTGGAAGCGAGGGCGCTTACGCGCGACCTTACGCGGGCAACTCACGCGCCAATGTCTGCGCGAACGGACCCGTTTTTAGCGTCGCTCATTTGTCCACATCCACGGGTATAGTTCGCGAAACTCTCGGTCGCGCTGTGCTTTGAGCGATTTCCGGCAGACGGCTTCCTGAGCATTTCCGTTTGGAGAGGCTCATCTGCTTGGCCCAGTGGTAGCTACTTGCAGTGTCGTGATCATTCCAGAGATCGTCATGCGATCTCACTGTGCAGGCCTTCGCACTGTTTCCGATTGCTTTGTTGCGACTGTCCTTGGATATCTCTCGGGCGCACGCTGACATGGACCGGGGATCCGTGGATCTGGCGCGTGCGCGCCAGATCCACGGACGGG